ATCTGTAGCAAGCACTGGCAAATTTGTGAAAGTGTTTTTTTCCACACACCATTCAATATGGCCACCACAATTGAGTCCAGGAGATAGGAAGTACAGTGTCTACACTCTGAAGGAGGGGTGTTAATGTTGCAGTTTTTTAACTGTAGTGTAAGCATGCCTCTGGCAAGACAGTGATGGAGTGAATGATGGTGAAAGCTTTCCTTTTTCGGGCCACCCTGCCTTGGTGGGAAATGGCCAATGCGTTAATAATAAAGGGGCTTTCTGCATGTATATTCAAATGTTATTCACCTTTATACAAACATTGTATCATGCTGAAATTATTATTATTATTATTATTATTTTAATGAACAGAAGAAGTGCTTTACTGACTGTAGTAGGTTGGTAGACAGCAACCACCCAGGGAGGTACTACTGTCCTGCCAAGTGAATGTAAAACAAAAGCCTGCAATTGTTTTACATGATGGTAGGATTGCTGGTGTCTTTCGTCTGTCTCATAAATATGCAAGATTACAGGTATGTCTTGCTACTTCTACTTACACTTAGGTCACACTACACATACATGTACACGTTTATTTATACACACTCATCTGAGTTTTTTTTTTATTTTATCTTAATAGTTCTTGGTCTTATTACTTTTCCTTTTATATCCATGGGGAAGTGGAATAAGAATCTTTCCTCCGTAAGCCATGCGTGTTGTAAAAGTCAACTAAAATTCCAGGAACAATGGGCTAGTAATCCCTTTTCCTGTAAAGGTTACTAAAAAGAATAAGAAGAAGAAAATTGTCAAAGAGGGAGGTCTGAATGTGCGTGGATGTTGTGCAAATGATAAGACAGAGATGATTGTGGATGTTATGAATGAGAAGAAGCTGGATGTCCTGGCTTTAAGTGAAACAAAGCTGAAGGGGGTGGGAGAGTTTCAGTGGAGAGGAATAAATGGGATTAGGTCAGGGGTTTCAAATAGAGTTAGAGCAAAAGAAGGAGTAGCAATAATGTTGAAGGATAAGATATGGCAGGAAAAGAGGGACTATAAATGTATTAATTCAAGGATTATGTGGAGTAAAATAAAGGTTGGGTGTGAAAATTGGGTTATAGTAAGTGTATATGCACCTGGAGAAGAGAGAAGTGTAGAGGGGAGAGAGAGAGATTTTGGGAAATGTTCAGTGAATGCGTGGGGAGTTTTGAACCAAGTGTGAGAGTACTTGTGGTTGGGGATTTCAATGCTAAAATGGGTAAAAATGTTGTGGAGGGAGTAGTAGGTAAATTTGGGGTGCCAGGGGTAAATGTAAATGGGGAGCCTTTAATTGAGCTGTGTGTAGAAAGAGATTTGGTAATAAGTAATACATATTTTATGAAAAAGAGGATAAATAAATATACAAGGTATGATGTAGCACATAATGAAAGTAGTTTGTTAGATTATGTATTGGTGGATAAAAGGTTAATGGGTAGGCTCCAGGATGTACATGTTTATAGAAGGGCAAATGATATATCGGATCATTATTTAGTTGTAGCTACAGTTAGTGTAAGAGGTAGATGGGACAAGAGGAAGGTGGCAACAACAAGTAGGAGGGAAGTGAAAGTGTATAAACTAAGGGAGGAGGAAGTTCGGGTGAGATATAAGCGACTATTGGCAAAAAGGTGGGCTAATGCAAAGATGAGTAGTGGGGGGGTTGAAGAGGGCTGGATGAGTTTTAAAAATGCAGTGTATTAGAATGTGGGGCAGAAGTTTGTGGTTATAGGAGGGTGGGGGCAGGAGGAAAGAGGAGTGATTGGTGGAATGATGAAGTAAAGGGTGTGATAGAAGACAAAAAGTTAGCTTATGAGAGGTTTTTTACAAAGCAGAAGTGTTATAAGAAGAGCAGAGTATATGGAGAGTAAAAGAAAGGCGAAGAGAGTGATGAGAGAGTGCAAAAGGAGAGAAGATGATAGAGTGGGAGAGGCACTGTCAAGAAATTTTAATGAAAATAAGAAAAAATTTTGGAGTTAAACAAGTTAAGAAAGCCTAGGGAATGTATGGATTTGTCAGTTAAAAACAGAGTAGGGGAGTTAGTAGATGGAGAGAGGGAGGTATATGGTAGATGGCGAGAATATTTTGAGGAACTTTTAAATGTTGAGGAAGAAAGGGAGGTGGTAATTTCATGCACTGGCCAGGGAGGTATACCAGCTTTTAGGAGTGAAGAAGAGCAGAATGTAAGTGTGGGGGAGGTACGTGAGGCATTACGTAGAATGAAAGGGGGTAAAGCAGCTGGAACTGATGGGAACATGACAGAAATGTTAAAAGCAGGGGGGGATATAGTGTTGGAGTGGTTGGTACTTTTGTTTAATAAATGTATGAAAGAGGGGAAGGTACCTAGGGATTGGCGGAGAGCATGTATAGTCCCTTTATATAAAGGGAAGGGGGACAAAAGAGATTGTAAAAATTATAGAGGAATAAGTTTATTGAGTATACCAGGAAAAGTGTACGGTAAGGTTATTATTGAAAGAATTAGAGGTAAGACAGAATGTAGGATTGCGGATGAGCAAGGAGGTTTCAGAGTGGGTAGGGGATGTGTAGATCAAGTGTTTACATTGAAGCATATATGTGAACAGTATTTAGATAAAGGTAGGGAAGTTTTTATTGCATTTATGGATTTAGAAAAGGCATATGATAGAGTGGATAGGGGAGCAATGTGGCAGATGTTGCAAGAATATGGAATAGGTGGTAAGTTACTAAATGCTGTAAAGAGTTTTTATGAGGATAGTGAGGCTCAGGTTAGGGTGTGTAGAAGAGAGGGAGACTACTTCCCGGTAAAAGTAGGTCTTAGACAGGGATGTGTAATGTCACCATGGTTGTTTAATATATTTATAGATGGGGTTGTAAAAGAAGTAAATGCTAGGGTGTTTGGGAGAGGGGTGGGATTAAATTATGGGGAATCAAATACAAAATGGGAATTGACACAGTTACTTTTTGCTGGTGATACTGTGCTTATGGAAGATTCTAAAGAAAAATTGCAAAGGTTAATGGATGAGTTTGGGAGTGTGTGTAAAGGTAGAAAGTTGAAAGTGAACATAGAAAAGAGTAAGGTGATGAGGGTATCAAATGATTTAGATAAGGAAAAATTGGATATCAAGTTGGGGAGGAGGAGTATGGAAGAAGTGAATGTTTTCAGATACTTGGGAGTTGACGTGTCGGCGGATGGATTTATGAAGGATGAGGTTAATCATATAGGTAGTAGGTTGGTAGACAGCAACCGCCCAGGGAGGTACTACCGTCCTGCCAAGTGAGTGTAAAACGAAAGCCTGTAATTGTTTTACATGATGGTAGGATTGCTGGTGTCCTTTTTTCTGTCTCATGAACATGCAAGATTTCAGGTACGTCTTGCTACTTCTACTTACACTTAGGTCACACTACACATACATGTACAAGCACATATATACACACCCCTCTGGGTTTTCTTCTATTTTCTTTCTAGTTCTTATTCTTGTTTATTTCCTCTTATCTCCATGGGGAAGTGGAACAGAATTCTTCCTCCGTAAGCCATGCGTGTTGTAAGAGGCAACTAAAATGCCGGGAGCAAGGGGCTAGTAACCTCTTCTCCTGTATATATTACTAAATGTAAAAGGAGAAACTTTCGTTTTTCCTTTTGGGCCACCCCGCCTCGGTGGGATACGGCCGGTGTGTTGAAAGAAAGAAGAAGAGGTTAATCATAGAATTGATGAAGGAAAAAAGGTGAGTGGTGCATTGAGGTATATGTGGAGTCAAAAAATGTTATGTATGGAGGTAAAGAAGGGAATGTATGAAAGTATAGTAGTACCAACACTCTTATATGGGTGTGAAGTTTGGGTTGTGAATGCAGCAGCGAGGAGGAGGTTGGAGGCAGTGGAGATGTCCTGTCTAAGGGCAATGTGTGGTGTAAATATTATGCAGAAAATTCGGAGTGTGGAAATTAGGAGAAGGTGTGGAGTTAATAAAAGTATTAGTCAGAGGGCTGAAGAGGGGTTGTTGAGGTGGTTTGGTCATTTAGAGAGAATGGATCAAAGTAGAATGACATGGAGAGCATTTAAATCTGTAGAAGGAAGGCGGGGTAGGGGTCGTCCTCGAAAAGGTTGGAAGGAAGGGGTAAGGGAGGTTTTGTGGGCGAGGGGCTTGGACTTCCAGCAGGCGTGCATGAGCGTGTTCAATAGGAGTGAATGGAGCCGAATGGTATTTGGGACCTGACAATCTGTTGGAGTGTGAGGAGGGTAATATTTAGTGAAGGGATTCAGGGAAACCGGTTATTTTTATATAGCCGGACTTGAGTCCTGGAAATGGGAAGAACAATGCCTGCACTCTAAAGGAGGGGTTTGGGGATATTAGCAGTTTGGAGGGATATGTTGTGTGTCTTTATAAGTATATGCTTCTAAACTGTTGTGTTCTGAGCACCTCTGCAAAAACAGTGATTATGTGTGAGTGAGGTGAAAGTGTTGAATGATGATGAAAGTATTTTCTTTTTGGGGATTTTCTTTCTCTTTGGGTCACCCTGCCTCGGTGGGAGACGGCCGACTTGTTGAAAAAAAAAAAAAAATGTCTACAGTGTTTATTTTGTGTAAAATTGGCCAAACTGCCAACTATTGTGCACATTATAGTGTAGTTCTGATAGTTGAATGGGTGGTTTCTTGTGCTCAATTGATAGAACATAAGGCATACAAGCAAAACAGCTAAGAATCTGTTCAAAGCAAGCAAAGGAATTGGCTTAAAATAGGACTCAATATGGGGGGATATCACCAATGTGTAAACTGTACCCAGACTTCTAACTTTGCGCCTGCATAATTTTGTAAGCTTTTCATCAAATTTCATATTTTTGGAGTCATTACCTTCAGAATAAGATTCTCTACTATTTAAGAAGAAAAAATATACATATATTTTTAAAAATGTAGACACAGAGAGAAATTTTAATTCTGTATGTCTGGACAGTGAAAGGGTGTTCAATAAAAATCAAATCTCGTCCTCAAGAATAAAAATACACAGAGTACTGCATTACTTACCCTGACATTGTCAAAGTGTACACTGCAGGTGTTAGAGGCTCGGAGGCCTAACTTGTCCTCTTTCTTGCCAATACTCAGACCTGGTGTGCCAGCATCAACAATGAAGCAAGTAATGCCTTTGTAGCCCTACAAAGAAATACTGATAAAAACTGACTATGTATAAATGAAAGATATACAGCACATAATTTATTAAAAATATACAAAATACTGTGTATATAATATATTGGACTGATGGTTTTCCTAGTTTAAGTGAATTTAATATATGTAATATGCTTTGGTCTAGTGATATTTAACTCTAAGATAATTATACTCCATACTAGGAGTAATTCAGTATTTTTATGAGGGTAACTGTATCAATCCTAGGTAGTAGGTTGGTAGACAGCAACCGCCCAGGGTGGTACTACCGTCCTGCCAAGTGAGTGTAAAACGAAAGCCTGTAATTGTTTTACATGATGGTAGGATTGCTGGTGTCTTTTGTCTGTCTCATAAATATGCAAGATTACAGGTAAGTCTTGCTACTTCTACTTACACTTAGGTCACACTACACATACATGTACAAGCATATATATACACACCCCTCTGGGTTTTCTTCTATTTTCTTTCTAATTCTTGTTCTTGTTTATTTCCTCTTATCTCCATGGGGAAGTGGAACAGAATTCTTCCTCTGTAAGCCATGCGTGTCGTAAGAGGCGACTAAAATGCCGGGAGCAAGGGGCTAGTAACCCCTTCTCCTGTATATATTACTAAATTTAAAAGGAGAAACTTCAGTTTTTTCTTTTGGGCCACCCCACCTCAGTGGGATACTGCTGGTACGTTGAAAGAAGAAAGAACTGTATCAATACGTGTATTATGTTTACAGAGGGGCAATTACTTTTGTTAGCTAGCTCAAGGAGATAATAGTGCTAAATGGGTTAAATACTATTGTTATAGTCTTATCTTAAAGATATTTTCTGTTTAATAATATAATCAAGATCATGATCCTGATGAATGCAGAGAGATGAATCGAGAGAGATGGTCTAATATGTGCAACTAATTTCATAAAAGCACTTATGAATATATTTTGAAAGTTTTAATGGATCTACTGAAGATAATTCTAGAACAAACAAACATGAACAAACAAGGTATGATAAAGCTCATGGAGCGGGAAGAGTAACTTAGTAGCAGCTAGTGAAGAGGCGGGGTCAGGAGCTGTGACTCGACCCCTGCAACCACAACTAGGTGAGTACACACACACACACACACACACATATATATATATCTGGAGCAGGAAGAGTGACCTAGTAGCCTGCAACCACAACTAGGTGAGTACAGAGAGTAAATATGGTATATGAACTTCTTAAAATTACCCTGCAGGGAACAATGTTGTCAAGTACATAAAGTCTTGTCTTCATTAGATTTCCTACATATTGTTTTTCTTTGAAAATAAAATGAATGAAGAAATAGCTTAAAAATTCTGAAATAAAATCTTTATGTCCACACAGTTAAATGTGGATAAAACCATCATAATACACCAGAATACTGTAAGGAAAAGCAAATTTATAAAAATATTCACCAAGTGAGAACCCAATCACAAACTGTAATAAGTGAAACAGTACTGATAATCTTAATAACCCCATACCTACTTTACATTCCTCCAAACCTTCTGAACGTGAAAAAATATTAAATGCACAGAAAAGGACATAGACAAGTAGAAACCTTATTTTGTAACTCACAGCAGAAGGATTCGCATTTGCCATGACCAAGAAAACACCAGAATGGGGAGCCGATGATATCCACATCTTGGAACCATTAATAACAAAGTGGCTGCCATCTTTCACAGCAGTTGTTTTCATTGAAAAGGCATCAGAACCGGCTTCTGCTTCTGACAGACAAAAACTTCCTGTCTAAGGAAAAAAATTAAAGTTTAACAGAAATTCAATTAATGATACTGCAAAGCAATTCATGCTTTGTGTACAAAACAAACATCCTTTCATCACAGTTTCTCTTGTGGGATTAACAAAAAAAAAAATTGATTGACAAAGTTCCAATGGGATAATTTGAGAAATATTCATTCTTAAACTAGATCCTGCTCAAACTCTTAAATTTTTTTTTTAACACACTGGCCATCTCCCACTGATGCAGGGTGACCTGAAAAAGAAACACTTTCACCATCATTCACACTATCACTGTCTTGCCAGAGGTGTACAGATATGACAGTTTAGATGTAACTCTAAACAGCAAATATCCCAAACTCCTTCCTTAGAAAGCAGACATTGTACTTTCACATTCAGTACTCTAAGTCCGGCTAACTGGTCTCCCCAAATCTCTTCACAAAATATTACCCTACTCACACTCCAATAGCTCATCAAATCCCAAAAACCATTTGTCTCCATTCACTCCTATCTAACACACTCACACATGCCTGCTGCATGTCCAAGCTCTAAATGTGTCAATTTTTTTATTTTAAATATATAATAAGCACAGGTATTTGAAAGACTAGTATAGCAAAATGTGTAACTTGCTAAGGGAATAAGGGTTGATGAGGGAGGGGAGGCAGCAAGAAGGCAAGAGAGAAAGGAAGAGATATGAAGAAAGAGGGGGAGGGTGAGTGTGCACGTGTTTTGTTTGTTTGTGTGTGTGTGTGTTCGCGTGTCTGTTTGTGTGTGTGTAGTCACCCATTTATGGTTGTAGGGTCAATTCTTAGATTATGGCCCTGTCTCTTAACCTTTTCACTGTTGGTGCCGTAATACTATGGCTTGCAAGCCAGTGTTGGTGCCATAGTATTACGCCAAAATTCTAGCAGATTCCAATCTAGCAGGAGAAAACTGGTAGACCTACATGTGAGAATGGGTCTGCGTCATCAGTGTGTGCAGTATAAAAAAATCCTACAGCATACAGTGCATAATGAGAAAAAAAATCTGACTGTGTTTTTGGTTTAAAACGTCGACTCTGATGTGTATTTTCATATGGTATTTATGGTTGTATTCTTGGTCTTATTTGACAGAATGGAAAATATATTACAGAAATAGAATTGATTTTGATTGGTTTCACAATGAAAAGTACCATGAAATTGAGCTCAAAGAAGTAGAAATGTTAGATTTTTGCCGATGTTCAAGAATAAACAAATGACATCACCGTCCAATACATGTCCAACTGGCCAGTCTAATACAGTCATGAATGGGTTGACATTATTTGTACAATTATTACAATAATGCAGTAGTGCACATAACAGTAAATCTATTTTTTGTGAGAATAAAAATTCAAAATGGAAAGCAAGAGTAATACAAGAGGGGCCTGGAGATGTGACTAGTGAACAAAGGAAATGTTATTTTAGTGCCAGGAATGTCTGCACTGTTTATTCTGGACTGTATTTCGAAAGTGGCATTTTTTGAAATTTGTGTGAAATTGGCCAAATTGCCCAGTTTCTGATCACTTTATTGGGTAGTTGAAATTGGTATATGGGCGATTTCTTGCACTCACTCAATAGAACAAATAGAGTTCTAGTCAAATAGGTATGAGTTTAGTCAACTGGAACAATGGAATTGGCCAAAAATAGGGCCCAAAGTGGGCGAAATCACCAATGTGTATGTATCGCTGAGACCACTAACTTAGCGAGGGCTTAATTCTGTAAATTTTCCATCAAATTTTGTACTTTTGATGCCATTACTATCGCAAAAAGATTCTCTATCATTTCATAGGAAATTTTTTTTTTTTTTTTTAAATTCTTCGACACTGAGAGCAAGTTTGTGAGCAGGGGTCTCGACACTGAAAGGGTTAATTTACTATTTTTCAGATTCACTCCCTCTTAGCCTCATGGGCTCTATTGTTCTTGCTCTTAAAACTATGTATGGAGTCTGCCTCCACCACTTCCTCATCAAAATCATTCCACTTCCTGACCACCCTGAGACTGAAGAAATACTTTCTTACATCCCTGTGACTCATCCATGTCCTTAACTTCCAGTTGTGTTCCCCCAAGTACCTGTTTCCTTCCCTCTCAGACAGTCTGTCCTTGTCTACCTATCAATTTTTGTGAGCATTTTTTATGTTATTATCATGTCCCCCTCTGGTTCTTCTGTCCTCCAATGTCTTTAGATTTAATTCCTTTAGCATCTCCTCATAGTGCATATCCCCTTAGCTCTGGAACTAGTCTCACTGCATACTCCTGCTCTTTCTCCAATTTCTTAAACTGCTTTCTTAGGTGCAGGATCCATACTGGTACTGAGCATCCCAAGATAGGCCTGATACATGTTGTAAAGGCACTTGGAATGACACTTCGTTGAGATTCCTGAATTCCACTCTCAAATATGCCAGTCATGTGTGTTCATGTTTTGTGTGTGCACATCTGTTTTTTTGCATGGGTTCTTTTTTTTTCTAGTCTATCCTTGTCTAGGACAGACCAAAATGTCATTTAAGGTTTCCTCTCTAAAGTCATGAAATGATAAATCTATTTTTAAAGATATTCTAAATGACTTACATATTCAGCAGCAAGCTTAGGCAGGTACTTGTCCTTTTGCTCATCTGTGCCCAAGTTACGGAAGAGTGTGTTTATCAGGGTATTTTGGATATCGCACGTAACACTTACTGAAGCATCTACTTTAGCCAACTCCTCAATAACCAAATTGGCAACAAAAAAAGTAGATCCACATCCACCATATTCTGTTTCTACTTCTATAGCCATGAACTGTAAAAAAAGGAAAAAGATAATAAGTCATACAGTAAGGGAATTAATAATTAGGTATGTCTGTGGAAGGGGTGCCTTTAAGTGGGTGAAAGAACACTTCTTTTCTTCCTCTATGGCTTTCATTTATAACCTGGGAAAGCTTCATATGACTGGCTTCAAATTTTCTATGCTGGTGTAATAAATATTAAATAAATTTAAACTGACCAGTGCTATATATAATAGAATTTTGTTAAAAAATTATGCTAATTTAAGTTAGGTCAGGTGAAGGTTTTTAAGTAAGATTTGGCCCCAAAATAACACATTTTATACATAATTGTCAATGTAAAAAATTGGAGTTGTCAACACTGGTTTGATGACTGATCCATTCGCACTGCCAAAAATTTTTTGGGCGCTGGCTAGTGAAAAAGCTATGGCAAATCAATTTTTAGATGAAAAATACTGTAATATACCTCATTTTCATCCCCTGTGTTGTAACTATGGAAAGGTAAGAGGTTACAAGTGCAACTAATGTGTTCTTTTACCTAACAAATTGTCGGTAAATAACAAAAAGGCACAATACCGTGACTGGAACGATACACAAATAACCTGCACATAAAAGAGAGAAGCTTACGACGACGTTTCGGTCCGACTTGGACCGTTGACAAAGTCACACTAACAGAGGTGGAGCAGGACGGCTATATATAGGCAGGAAGAAGTGGAGGTAGTAGTAGTAGTAGTAGTACAAGAATTGTATATAATACCGACAAGATGAAATTAAGACACATGCACAACACCCGGGCATCACCATCGTAGACGTTTCGCCGTCCAGCCAGCCACTGGATGGCGAAACGTCCACAACAAAGACAACCAGATGCCGCACATGTGTCTTAATTTCATCAGTAGTTGTAGTAGTAGTAGTAGAAGAAGAGGTAGTAGTAGTGGTAGTGGTAGAAGTGGGAAATAAGGATGACGAGCCAGTCAAAAACAAAGGAAGGGGAGCACTGCATCTAGCTCTCTTGCAGTGCTCCCCTTCCTTTGTTTTTGACTGGCTCGTCATCCTTATTTCCCACTTCTACCACTACCACTACTACTACCTCTTCTTCTTCTACTACTACTACAACTACTGATGAAATTAAGACACATGTGCGGCGTCTGGTTGTCTTTGTTGTGGACGTTTCGCCATCCAGTGGCTGGCTGGATGGCGAAACGTCTACGATGGTGATGCCCGGGTGTTGTGCATGTGTCTTAATTTCATCTTGTCGGTATTATATACAATTCTTGTACTACTACTACAGTGGACCCCCGCATAGCGACTTTAATCCGTGCAAGAGGGCTGATTGTTATGCGAAATGATCGGTATGCGAATGAATTTTCCCCATAAGAAATAATGGAAATCAAATTAATCCGTGCAAGACACCCAAAAGTATGAAAAAAAAAATTTTACCGCATGAAATATACATTTTCCTACACACAAAGAGAAGGATACATGCACAATAGTAGAGTAGTACATGCACAATATATATTGTGCATGTACTACTCTACTAAATGAAGAATAAATGACACTTACCTTTATTGAAGATGCAGCAATGACTGATGAGACAGTGTGTCCTGGGAGTGCCTTTTCCTCCTGAGTACCGTAGGTCCTGTTTGGCATTTTCTTCCAGAACAGGCCTTATCACACTGTGTATGCCACTACGATTCTTAAATCTCTCAAACCAACCTTTGCTGGCTTTAAATTCACCAATATGAGCACTAGTTCCAGGCATTTTTCCCTGTTCACCTGGGTGTTAGTCGACTGGTGTGGGTTGCATCCTGGGAGACAAGATTAAGGACCCCAATGGAAATAAGTTAGACAGTCTTCGATGACACTGACTTTTTTGGGTTATCCTGGGTGGTAAATCCTCTGGGGTTAATTGTTTCTTGGTATTCTCAATAAGCCACACCAACAACGGTGCTACAGCAGCAGCAGCAGCAGCTGACAGTGCTACAGCAGCAGCAGACGATGCTACAGCAGCAGCAGACGATGCTACAGCAGCAGCAGACGGTACTACAGCAGCAGCAGCAGCTGACGGTGGTACAACAGCAGCAGCAGCTGACAAGTGCTACAGCAGCAGCAGACGATGCTACAGCAGCAGCAGACGGTACTACAGCAGCAGCAGCAGCTGACGGTGGTACAACAGCAGCAGCAGCTGTACCACCAATAGTAGCGATGGTTGATTGGGGTTTATTATACAACCTGGCCAGCTCGGAGACATGCACTCCACTTTCATACTTATAAATGATCTTTTTCTTCATCTCTATAGTAATTCTCACCCTTATTGCTGTAGGGTTGGCACTAGAAGCTTTCTTGGGGCCCATGGTCACTTATTTTCCAGAAAAAATCACCAAAAACACTGTAATAATACGAAATGTTCCGATTGTATGCTTGGATGTTACCGCGGAGGCTGGCTGGTAAACAATGCCACCGGCGGCACATGTGAGGCTGGCTAAGGGCGCACATTGGACGCGTCTCGGACGAAGAGCGGTGAGCGGGTTTTTGGGCGGTATGCGAGGCAAAATTTTTGCGATAAAAGCGAGCGGTATGCGGATTGAACGGTATGCGATGCGTACGGTATGCGGGGGTCCACTGTACTACTACTACTACTACTACTACCACCACCTCCACCTCTTCCTGCCTATATATAGCCGTCCTGCTCCACCTCTGTTAGTGTGACTTTGTCAATGGTCCAAGTCGGACTGAAACGTCGTCGTAAGCTTCTCTCTTTTATGTGCGGGTTATTTGTGTATATTGTCGGTAATTCTACCAACATTAATACAACTATGAAAAGGTTCACGCAATTACTGCCATATTTAGGTGAACTGAACAAGGCCACTCCTGATTTTGATTTCTTGTTATAACTTGAAAAAGGCTCTTCTGATCGGCTTCAAAGTTTTAAATGCTGGTATATTCTAATTAAGAGCAAGATGGAATTGCTGGTGGAGTGTGCAAGTGCCACTCATCTAATTTTATTTTTAAACTGGTGTGGTATTTTGTCCATGAAATAACTTTGCACGCTGTTGGAATGTGAGCAAGAAAGCACTTATGAGGGGATTCAGGAAAACTTGTTAACCACACTTGAGTCCTGGAGGTGGGAGATACAGTGCACACTACCTAGGTGGGAGATGGGAGGTGTGTTAAATAAATAATAAAAAAGAAATACAGTAATATGAATATACTTCATCAGAACAGCTTCAGTCATTAATGGGTGATGCATCTGATGAAAAGGATGATACTTATTTACAAACATAATTAACAAGCTCAAAACTACTGGATTTCACATAACTGAAGAATAGCTCTTCTGGTTGGCTTTATAGCCTCAGCACTGTTTCACTGTGTTAGTCCCAATTTGAGAAAATTTTATTTATGGATCTTCTGTCAACTGAATAAAGTCATTCCTGATTTAGGTGTACATGAGATTAACTCAAGAAAGCCTCTTGTGATAAACTTCAAACTTTTAACTCTGGTATGTCCTGTTTAATAAAAGGTTCAGTGTTACTGGAGTATGTAAGTGCCAATTTTATTTTTAAAATAGTCTGTTATTTTTTTTAAATAACCCAGGATTGCCTCTTTTTATATGACTCAATCATCCCTCATGTGAGAGGCATGATTTCCAATAATTTTAAGTCATGTAGGTTCAAGTTTACCAACTTAGTAATAGACATTTCTCTGCAATAGGTAGTAGGTTGGTAGACAGCAACCACCCAGGGAAGTACTACCGTCCTGCCAGATGACTGTGAAACAAAAACCTGTAACTGTTTTGCATGATGGTAGGATTGCTGGTTTCTTTTTCTGTCTCATAAACACGCTAAGATAACAGGGATATCTTGCTACTCGTACTTACACTTTGGTCACACTTCACAGACACGCACATGCATATATATATATACATACATCTAGGTTTTTCTCCTTTTTCTAAATAGCTCTTGTTCTTTTTTATTTCTTCTATTGTCCATGGGGAAGTGGAAAAGAATCTTTCCTCCGTAAGCCATGCGTGTCGTATGAGGCGACTAAAATGCCGGGAGCAATGGGCTAGTAACCCCTTCTCCTGTATACAATTACTAAAAAAGAGAAGAAGAAAAACTTTATAAAACTGGGTTGCTTAAATGTGCGTGGATGTAGTGCGGATGACAAGAAACAGATGATTGCTGATGTTATGAATGAAAAGAAGTTGGATGTCCTGGCCCTAAGCGAAACAAAGCTGAAGGGGGTAGGAGAGTTTCAGTGGGGGGAAATAAATGGGATTAAATCTGGAGTATCTGAGAGAGTTAGAGCAAAGGAAGGGGTAGCAGTAATGTTAAATGATCAGTTATGGAAGGAGAAAAGAGAATATGAATGTGTAAATTCAAGAATTATGTGGATTAAAGTAAAGGTTGGATGCGAGAAGTGGGTCATAATAAGCGTGTATGCACCTGGAGAAGAGAGGAATGCAGAGGAGAGAGAGAGATTTTGGGAGATGTTAAGTGAATGTATAGGAGCCTTTGAACCAAGTGAGAGAGTAATTGTGGTAGGGGACTTGAATGCTAAAGTAGGAGAAACTTTTAGAGAGGGTGTGGTAGGTAAGTTTGGGGTGCCAGGTGTAAATGATAATGGGAGCCCTTTGATTGAACTTTGTATAGAAAGGGGTTTAGTTATAGGTAATACATATTTTAAGAAAAAGAGGATAAATAAGTATACACGATATGATGTAGGGCGAAATGACAGTAGTTTGTTGGATTATGTATTGGTAGATAAAAGACTGTTGAGTAGACTTCAGGATGTACATGTTTATAGAGGGGCCACAGATATATCAGATCACTTTCTAGTTGTAGCTACACTGAGAGTAAAAGGTAGATGGGATACAAGGAGAATAGAAGCATCAGGGAAGAGAGAGGTGAAGGTTTATAAACTAAAAGAGGAGGCAGTTAGGGTAAGATATAAACAGCTATTGGAGGATAGATGGGCTAATGAGAGCATAGGCAATGGGGTCGAAGAGGTATGGGGTAGGTTTAAAAATGTAGTGTTAGAGTGTTCAGCAGAAGTTTGTGGTTACAGGAAAGTGGGTGCAGGAGGGAAGAGGAGCGATTGGTGGAATGATGATGTAAAGAGAGTAGTAAGGGAGAAAAAGTTAGCATATGAGAAGTTTTTACAAAGTAGAAGTGATGCAAGGAGGGAAGAGTATATGGAGAAAAAGAGAGAAGTTAAGAGAGTGGTGAAGCAATGTAAAAAGAGAGCAAATGAGAGAGTGGGTGAGATGTTATCAACAAATTTTGTTGAAAATAAGAAAAAGTTTTGGAGTGAGATTAACAAGTTAAGAAAGCCTAGAGAACAAATGGATTTGTCAGTTAAAAATAGGAGAGGAGAGTTATTAAATGGAGAGGTAGAGGTATTGGGAAGATGGAAGGAATATTTTGAGGAATTGTTAAATGTTGATGAAGATAGGGAAGCTGTGATTTCGTGTATAGGGCAAGGAGGAATAACATCTTGTAGGAGTGAGGAAGAGCCAGTTGTGAGTGTGGGGGAAGTTCGTGAGGCAGTAGGTAAAATGAAAGGGGGTAAGGCAGCCGGGATTGATGGGATAAAGATAGAAATGTTAAAAGCAGGTGGGGATATAGTTTTGGAGTGGTTGGTGCAATTATTTAATAAATGTATGGAAGAGGGTAAGGTACCTAGGGATTGGCAGAGAGCATGCATAGTTCCTTTGTATAAAGGCAAAGGGGATAAAAGAGAGTGCAAAAATTATAGGGGGATAAGTCTGTTGAGTGTACCTGGTAAAGTGTATGGTAGAGTTATAATTGAAAGAATTAAGAGTAAGACGGAGAATAGGATAGCAGATGAACAAGGAGGCTTTAGGAAAGGTAGGGGGTGTGTGGACCAGGTGTTTACAGTGAAACATATAAGTGAACAGTATTTAGATAAGGCTAAAGAGGTCTTTGTGGCATTTATGGATTTGGAAAAGGCGTATGACAGGGTGGATAGGGGGGCAATGTGGCAGATGTTGCAAGTGTATGGTGTAGGAGATAGGTTACTGAAAGCAGTGAAGAGTTTTTACGAGGATAGTGAGGCTCAAGTTAGAGTATGTAGGAAAGAGGGAAATTTTTTCCCAGTAAAAGTAGGCCTTAGACAAGGATGTGTGATGTCACCGTGGTTGTTTAATATATTTATAGATGGGGTTGTAAGAGAAGTAAATGCGAGGGTCTTGGCAAGAGGCGTGGAGTTAAAAGATAAAGAATCACACACAAAGTGGGAGTTGTCACAGCTGCTCTTTGCCGATGACACTGTGCTCTTGGGAGATTCTGAAGAGAAGTTGCAGAGATTGGTGGATGAATTTGGTAGGGTGTGCAAAAGAAGAAAATTAAAGGTGAATACAGGAAAGAGTAAGGTTATGAGGATAACAAAAAGATTAGGTGATGAAAGATTGAATATCAGATTGGAGGGAGAGAGTATGGAGGAGGTGAACGTATTCAGATATTTGGGAGTGGACGTGTCAGCGGATGGGTCTATGAAAGATGAGGTGAATCATAGAATTGATGAGGGAAAAAGAGTGAGTGGTGCACTTAGGAGTCTGTGGAGACAAAGAACTTTGTCCTTGGAGGCAAAGAGGGGAATGTATGAGAGTATAGTTTTACCAACGCTCTTATATGGGTGTGAAGCGTGGGTGATGAATGTTGCAGCGAGGAGAAGGCTGGAGGCAGTGGAGATGTCATGTCTGAGGGCAATGTGTGGTGTGAATATAATGCAGAGAATTCGTAGTTTGGAAGTTAGGAGGAGGTGCGGGATTACCAAAACTGTTGTCCAGAGGGCTGAGGAAGGGTTGTTGAGGTGGTTCGGACATGTAGAGAGAATGGAGCGAAACAGAATGACTTCAAGAGTGTATCAGTCTGTAGTGGAAGGAAGGCGGGGTAGGGGTCGGCCTAGGAAGGGTTGGAGGGAGGGGGTAAAGGAGGTTTTGTGTGCGAGGGGCTTGGACTTCCAGCAGGCATGCGTGAGCGTGTTTGATAGGAGTGAATGGAGACAAATGGTTTTTTAATACTTGACGTACTGTTGGAGTGTGAGCAAAGTAACATTTATGAAGGGATTCAGGGAAACCGGCAGGCCGGACTTGAGTCCTGGAGATGGGAAGTACAGTGCCTGCACTCTGAAGGAGGGGTGTTAATGTTGCAGTTTAAAAACTGTAGTGTAAAGCACCCTTCTGGCAAGACAGTGATGGAGTGAATGATGGTGAAAGTTTTTCTTTTTCGGGCCACCCTGCCTTGGTGGGAATCGGCCGGTGTGATAATAAAAAAAAAAAAAAAAAAAAAATAACTAGAGGATGCCTCTTCTGATCAGCTTCAAAATTTCCAAACATACATACTATTTTACTTAAAGGAATGATCAGGGTGGTCTTGGGTGATGTTGGTACCAATATACCAATTGTATTGAAGCAATTCTAATATTTGCTTTTATGGGACAACTTTTCCAAGTCCATAATGGTAGGCTTCAACACGTCAAATGCTGATGTACTGCATGTTAATTAAAGGAAGGTTTGGATTATTATAGTTCCTGACCCACTTGAGGGTACTGATTTATAACTCCTGTGCCACTTGAGGATGTTAGAGTCCCGTTAAAGTGTGAGCAGTTACATCTGTGAAGGGACTGAGGGAAGCTGGGCTGGACAATCAGATTAGAATTCTGGGGCTGAAAAGTACAACACCTACATTCTGAAAGATGGGTAAAGATGAAGAGTAAGACACATGTGCAACAGTTGGGTATCTTTATTTTTTGACTGAAACATTTTGCCTACATGGTAGGCTGCTTCAATCAAATACAGAAGCTATGGTGCTGAATTCTTCTCCAGGTTGAGGGACTGACCACCTCAAACTATTTCTCCAAGGTTGATGGACTGACTACATCATCTTTACCTTGCTATTAATCCAACTGCCTCCACTGCATTCATTTCTGTACCTGACTGAAGAATTCTACCATGTAGGCACAATGTTTCAATCAAAAATTAAGAGACCCAACTGTTGCGTATGTGTCTTACTCTTCAATTTGTTGGCATAATATACCATTTTTATCATGGGTAAGGATGTTGCAGTTTGGAGAGTTAAGTGAACACTGATGTCCATGAACTTCTGGCAAGAAAGCTATTAAATGAGTGACGATGAAATACATTTCTTTTTCTTGGGTCACCTTATTTTGATGGGAAATAGCTGAAGTGCAAAATAATTTAGTTAATAAGCTACCATAGTGATATTCTTAGTCTAGGATATAAATATTAACAGCTTAATTTTTCTCTTAATCAATGGACTCTTAGCTCTACTATGCTCAGTTCTTAAAAAAAAAAAAAAATAATAATCGTACAAGCATCAAGAATACTAATTACTGTACATACATAATAGGCACAGTATGCATAAATACCACAAGTAACTAATACTGTACCTCTCATGCCACTGAAGGACTCTTAATCCAAGAAAGTGGAGCTATTCTCCCCTTTTTCTGATTAATCCAGATTACATTCCATTCCCCAGGTGCTGTAAGACCCCTACAGATTTAGAACTTCCTGATGAACATAACAAACAACAAATACACATGTAACAGAAACCAAACATAAACTTCACATCTTGTAGCTGCTGAGAATGCAGGTAAGAAAATCTCATGTTATGCTATATAGTATGACTGAAAACAAATTAAAATGAGTTATAAATGTGCTGCTCCTAAACTGTTGGGTCAACTGTAAGGTGTTGAAAAGACTTAAATATTTAACCCTTTGACTGTTTTCGACGTATAAATACGTCTTACGAGCCAATGTTTCTGACGTATATATACTCAATAATTCTAGCGGCTTCAAATCAAGTGGGAGAAAGCTGGTAGGCCCACATGTGAGAGAATGGGTCTGTGTGGTCAGTGTGCACCACATAAAAAAAATCCTGCAGCACACATTGCGTAATGAGAAAAAAAAAACTGATCGTTTTTTTGGAATAAAACGTCGACTTTGAGGTGTATTTTCGTATAGTATTTATCGTTGTATTCGCGTTTTCATGGTCTTAGGTGATAAAATGGAAAACATATTACAGACATAGAGATGATTTTCATTACTTTTACGATGAAAACGACCTTGAAACTGAGCTCAAAGTAGCGGAAATGTTCGATTTTTACCAATGTTCAAGAGTAAATAAATCACACCACACGTCCAATACACGTCAACTGGGGAGTCTAATATTCTTTCACTAGTGCACTGATATTATTTATACCATTTTTACAATAATGCAGTCGTCTGCATAACAGTAAATTTTGTATTTTTTTGTATGAATAAAAAATCAAAATAGAAAGCAATAATAATATAAGAGGGGCCTAGAGATGTGACTAATGAACAGAGCATATGTTATTTTAGTGCCACGAATGTCTACCTTGTTTATTCTGGACCCTATTTTGAAATTGGCATCTTTTTTATTTTGCGTGAAATTGGCCAAATTGCCAATTTCTGACCACCATATTGGGTAGTCCAAATTAGTAAATGGGAGGTTTCTTGTACTCAGCTGATAGATAAAATGGAGTTCTAAAGAAATAGCTATGAGTTTGGTCAACTGGAACAATGGAATTGGCTGAAAATAGGGCTCAAAGTAGGCGAAATCGCCGATACGCATATGTCGCCGAGACCGCTAACTTCGCGGGAGTATAATTCCACGAGTTTTCGACCAAATTTCGAACTTTTGGTGTCATTACCATCGGGAAAAGATTCTCTATCATTTCATAAGAAAAAATAATTTTTTTTTTTTTCAAAAATTGAGCGACATAGAATGACAGTTTCAGAGAGGGGCCTGAAACAGTCAAAGGGTTAAATATCAAAGTATTGTACAATTATTAATGAATGTTTAAAAGTCAGTCTCATGCACAGTCTGAATTACTCTTTGCTTAAACTTACCCCATTATCAAACATGCCTCTGTAAACAGACTCATCCATATTACTCTCTGCATCCATTTTTCGGACAAGAGGGAAAATCTTCTCACGGGCAAATTTTGCCACTGTGGACATGAACAGAATTCAAATTATTAAAAACTCTCAAACAACTTTAGGTATTTTCTAAAAGCATTGAAAGAATATAAAGGAACAGACTGAAAAAATTAACATATTCATGAGTTTAAAAACTGTAGTGTAAAGCACCCTTCTGGCAAGACAGCGATGGAGTGAATGATGGTGAAAGTTTTTCTTTTTCGGGCCACCCTGCCTTGGTGGGAATCGGCCAGTGTGATAATAATAATAAAAAAATAATAAAAAATCTGTAAAGGCAGGGTGGCAGGTTTGCAATAACCAAGAGGAAGAGCATTGCTTTGGACACTAAAGTGGAGATTTTTTGATGAGTGGATGTGGGAGAGAATCCGTGTGGCATTACCAAACATCTTTTCCTGGCTAAGTCTACTGTACAAGCCATCCTAGGTAAAAAGATTAGCCAGTTACAAAAAGTTCTGGCTATGCTAATCCTGTTGCTGCTGCTATAGTGACTCACAGATGGAATAAATTGTGAGAAAACACAGAGGTATCTCAGTGTGTGGATGAAGGACCAGAAACAGAAAAAAAAAAATGCCATTTAATATGCCGACTCTTTAAAGGTTGTAAGTTTATTTGAGTATTTAAAGAAAAAAAAAGGGGGAGGGGTGCAGAATACATTACTTTCAAAGCCAGTAAGGGATCCAACAGACTCAGGAAGCATGACAACTTCCATAGCCTGATATTGAGTAATGAGAGTGCTAGTGTTGATGCTGATACTGCTGCCTAATATCCTAATGACCTGAAGAAAATTATGTGGATGAAACTGCACTATACTGGAAGTGTATACCATCAAGAACATTCATATCAAGAGAAGAGAAGAGGGTTTCAAGATTCAAACTAGCTAAGGATCAACTAATTCTTCTAGTAGGGGGCCAATGCAGAGAGAGATTTCAAGCTTAAGCTTCTCTTAGAGAACCAGCGAGTTAAAACAAATATTGAAAAAAGATGATCCTCCTATAATTTGGAGTGCCAACAAGAATGTGGGTATAACCAACATACTTGTTACTGATTGGTTTGACACTTTTGTCTTGCCATTGAAAATATGGCATTGATAACAATCTTGCTCACAAAGCACTGCTGCTTGTTGAAAATACAACAATGCATCCAGCAAAACCAAAAGACACTTCCAAACATGTCTGGACTGAGTTCCTTCCTAAGAAATCCACAGCTTTAATGCAACCAATGGATGTGTGATATTAAATCTTTTAAGTCATTTTATGTTGTGAAAACTTTTGCAAAACTCATTACAGACACTGACGGAGAAAACAGGCCAACAATTAAACAAATTCTGGAAGAAACTTAATATCCTAAATACCATCAATATCATTGATGAAGCTTGGAAGGAAGTCACAATTATTATTATGAACAATATCTAAAAGAAAATATAGTGTCGGTCCCGTTGCATTGCAGCTTTGAAGTCAGTGTTGGTCCAATATTATGACACCGTGAGATCAGCTCACTCAGATAAACTGTGAGTGGTAAATCTGGGCCTAGATATGAAGGTCTGTGTGTTAAATGTACACTATATCAATAAATCCTGCAGCAGGCAGTGCAAAATGAGAAAAAAAAATAAAACCGTGTTTTATATTTAAAACAGCAACTTTGCAGTACAGCCGCTCCTCATTCAGCAACGTACTTGTTTACGACGACTCAGACTTACGACGGGCTCTCTGACAAGTGTGCACACCTAAATAATATATGTTAGAGCTGATTGGCTCTATTCTCTTTATTAAAATTTACAGTACACTACACTACATTTAAAAATATACCAGAAATGTTATAAACGGTGTAAAGGTGACATTAAAGCAATATCAAAGATATTTGACACAAACCTACTACCATTATAGTATGCTCCTCACTTAGCAGCGAATTCGTTTACCAATGTGGTCTTAGGAGTTCTGTTCCTAAGAGCAGGTCAGTAAACGAATTGGTCGCTAAGCGAGGAGCATACTATACTAGTAGTGAGTTTGTGTCAACCATCTTTTGATATTGTTTTAATGTCACTTCTGCACCATTTATAACATTCTTAGCATATTTTTAAATGTTTATACAGCCTCTCCTCATTTTATGACAGTTCCGTTCCTAAGACCACATCGGTAAATGAAGACCATGCTATAACGGTTTACGTCAGCCATCTTTGACATTGTTTTAATGTCACCTTTGCATCATCTATAACATTTCTGGTATATATTTAAATGTTTATACAGTAGTGTACTGTATATTGTAATAAACAGAATAGAAGAAATCAGCTCTAATATACATTATTTAGGTATGTATACTGGTCAGAGTGCTGGTCTTAAGTCCAAGCGGTCTTTAAATGAGTACGTTGTTAAGTGAGGAGAGACTGTATTTTCATCCAGTTTTTATGGATGCAGTCTCGGTTTCTCGGTCTCATTTGATAGAATGAAAGATATACTACAGAACAGAGATGATTTTTGATCAGTTTCAGGACTGAAAGTAAATTGAAATTTAGCTTAAAGTAGAGGAAATGTTTGAATTTTGCAGATATTCCAGAGTACACAAATGATGTCACTTGTCCAATACATGTCCAACTGGCCAGTCTAATATGTATTTATGAATGCACTGACATTATTTATACAATTATTGCAATAATGCAATAGTCTGCATAACAGTAAATCTTCTATTTTTTGTGTGAATAAAAATTAAAAAAAGAAAAGCAAGCGAAATATAAGAGGGGCCTGGAGACATGACTAATGAATAGAGAAAATGATATTTTAGTGCCAGGAATGTCTACACTGTTTATTCTGGATGCTATTTTCAAATTGGCAATTGTTGAATTTTGTATGAAATTTCCCAAATTTCTGATTTCTGATCACTTTATTGGATAGTTGAAGTAGGTAAATGGGTGGTTTCCTGTACTCATTCAAAAGAATAGAAGGATTGCTAGTGAAATAGCTATGAGTTTGGTGGACTGAAACAATGGACGTGGCCAAAAACAAAGCGTAAAGTAGGTGAAAGCGCCGATGCATAAAAATTGCAGTCTGCTAATTTTGCAAGAGTATAATCCCATAAATTTCCATCAAATTTCATACTTTTGGTTTCATTACCTTCAGAAAAAGATTCTCTATCATTCCCTTAGATAATTTTTTTTTTTTTAAATACTTCGACCCGAGAGCAAGTTTGAGAGGAGAGGTCTCAACAATGAAAGGGGTTAATGATTTTCATAGATTAAGGTTATCACTGCTAGATATTCACAGGAAGAGTGTAGCCCCTCTTCACTGCTGATACATTCATGATGAGCCTCTCATCCTTTAAGAGTGCATGTCAATTATATATATACAGCTTCTCCTCACTCAGCGACGTACTCATTTACCAACGACTCAGAATAATGACGGGCTCTCTGACCAGTATGTATACATAAATAATGTATATTAGAGCTGATTTCCTCTATTCTGTTTATTACAACATATGGTACACTACTGTATAAACATTTAAAAATATGCTAAAAATGTTATAAGTGGTGCAAAGATGACATTAAAGCAATATCAAAGATGGTTGACACAAACTCACTACCATTGTAGTATGCTCCTTGCTTAGCAACGAATTCGTTTACCGACGTGGTCTTAGGAACAGGACTCCATCGTTAAGTGAGGAGAGGGTGTACTACACAGGTATCACTGTTGACACATGCACTGTACTTCCCACCTCCACGACACAGCTCAATTCACCATAACTCCCTCCTTTTCTCTCTCCTAGCCCCAACAAGTGCTGATGCTGATTCTAATCACTACTATTTGTTTTTTTTAACAACCAGGATGTCTCCCACTGAGGCAGGGAAACTCAAAAAAGTAGAAACAAAAGCTTTTCTTCTTTTTACATTTAGTAATAACACTATATCTCTACATTAAACAATGTGTCTATTTCTGGTAAATGCATATCTCTTAAATGGCATATTTAAATATGAATTTTATTATTTATTGTGTCTTATAGACTCTTAATATAGAGTGGATGGGGTTATAACACCACTATGCCTCTACTAAATTATGAACCCGTCTCTGGTGAGTACTTATTTCTTAAAGTCTCAATTAAATATTAATTGGAATTAGATATGAAGTGTTATCATCTAGGTCTGCAACATAAGTTATCCAGTTAATGACCATATCTAGGTCATTAAGCAGAGGTCCAATGTACCAGTATTTATGAAAAGTGCTAAACCTACATGGGCCAACAGTGCTATATGGGAAGTGCTATAAATGTTAAGACTGAGCACAAAAGCAGGAGGAGAGAATCACAGTTAGTGTAGTAAATTAGTTTCCGTTATTTTAAGCCACCAATGGTACAGCATTAGCATAAGAGTGAATATGTTCAGGGGTGAGCAAACAAGTGCTCACAAGTGGAGAAGTTTAGCCTTCAAGAATGGAAAGGTAAGGAAGGGCAGAATTACACAACACAGACTTTCCAAGGAGGAAGGAGGCAGTAAAAATCAAGAAAAATAGAAGAATGAGATAGGCCTTGGGACTCTATGAGAGTCTGAAGGGGTAACTTAAAGATATAGAATAGAGGGGTGACAACTGAAACTATCAGCTTTATTAATATCCATAATACTGTAGTCCTAAAGCTTCTAAGAACATAAAGGCCATGGAAATAAACAAGATTACAGAGAAAATAGGTATCACAACACTATCACAATACAGTAAAGGGATGTTACACAATGCACACAGGCTTTTGGTCTGAAATTTCTGAACATAAATGGAATCCCTGAGATTAATGACATCAAGACCAGTAAGAGTAACCAGAGTAGAGGAATACACCTTGTCCCCAGTATAATTAAGATAAGACCAAGGCCCAATGAACATGGAGAAGAGTTCATCTATTGGTCCACAGGGAAATAGCAAAACAAAATCTTTGACTGAGGCAGTCTACTATGACACATGCCTAGTAGAGAGAGAATCATGTAATGCTTCTATGACATATGAAAATGTCATAATAAGAAAACAATATCCAGTATGGACAGCAGGGCCTAGGAAATAACAGGAAACTTTGTGAAAATTACAAAAGCTCTTGAAGCTGTGTGATGTAGCCCAACTGGAAGTACAGTCAATGGCATGCAACAATGAAGCATTCAACAGTGCCAACATACACAAAAGTGAAACTGTCCACATACAGGAATATGAAACTTCCCCCCAGGAAACTGTGAGAAGTTCACCAATGCTGGTTAGAAACATGGTGGTGCTGTGTACATACCTTTGGAGTATACAGGAAAAAGTTATTATTAATCCAATTACCAAAGAACACCTGGCTGCTAGGGTCTCTAGAAAAGAGTGGTAGCTAGTACTGGGACAAGATATATTGCCAAGTGGTGGCAAAAGCCTTCTCTAGATGAAGAAAAGGGTCCTTGATGGAATAGGTAAGTCTATAATCAAACTAATGGTTAAAAAAGACAATTCTGGATCACCAAAAAACATATTAATCTCTTGTTAATTATGTGCTAATGGAAGGAGCAATGGATTATGCCTTAACATGCCAGATTTTCAGAGAGAGGCATACTGCAGCTTTTAACTGAAGGGATAAAATACTGGCAGACCAGATTTAACAGAAGGATAAGAGGAAAGTGACTTAGGGTGTAAATGTTGCAGAATGAGAATGTATACTGTACTGTATTATCATCTGGCTTAATGCTATAGGATAACATCTTGATAATGCCAATGAAAGTTCAAGAAGCACAGAAAGTACAGTACAAGAGGTTAAATCCAGATGAAATTCGTGGAGGGGTTTTAGTTGAACAAAAGTAAGATATAAATGTAGGATCTAGGGAAAGAAGCAAAACAGCAATTGGAAGTACTTTTCTGGGTGTTCAAACAGTATAAGCAGTATTGGTAATGCTGTGGAGTGAGTTGCAGATTTGCAACTACAAGTTAGCACCATCTGCTAACCAATTAGATGGAGCACTGATGGGAGAGAGCAGAGGTTAATTGAAATTTTAAACATTATGCTAAGATAGTGACAGCAAATGCAAGAGGATTGGATAAAGCCTTGAAGACTGAGTTTAATGTGGATGTCTCCTGCAACTGGTTATGGTGCATAATAGTGAAGGATGGTAGCCACCTACTGGAGTTTGAAGAGGATCAATTTGAGAAACATCTTGTTCACACATGGTGGCCAATCAAAGACAGGGTGCTTGTGGGCAAATTTATCATTATCAAACATTTTACCAGTGAAATTTGGAGCATAAAAAAAACTGAGTCCATGTCTCACAGTTAAAGGTAGATTTAACAGCAATGTAGATCTGAGAAAGGATTTGCTCAAGCAAGTACATGGAGGCTTGTGTGTAGAAATAGGCAAGATGGACTGGATCAAATAGGTAGACAGGATTTCAGAGACAGCAAGGTGGGGAGCAGATGTCTGGGATCTTTCAGACAGAGGTTACTCACAGGTTTGATAAACTACCTGATGAGTACAAGAAATTAAGAAACAATAGTTACTGCACAATAAATTAATCTTCACAACTCTCCCAACCACTGTGGAGGCCCTAGACACATTTGAAGCTGCCAGATGATCAAGATGGTGCATTCCCTTCAATGCCTGCCCTACCCTAGCTAAATGCACCACTCTACTACAAACTGCTAGCAAACCAAGTGCCACCCAACTCATTCGACACTACCGAAACTCACAGCTCACAGAAACCAGTGAAACTTAGTAATTAGAACCATTCACAACTAACCCCCAATTGGGAGAGGAAACTCTTGACTACTAATTTTTTTACTGTCTTTATTAAAGAGCTTCAATATCATCCACTGTGCAATAATTATATATAAAATATGAAATACAAGCAAGTTATTATTATAAAGGGCATACTATATACAAATACAGTAATGTTGATAAAATTCCCAGAGGAAATTATCACAATAAAAAACTGATTATAATAATTAGTACTCTTAATAAAATACTAAGTGCAATGTAAATAATGTACTCAGATGTAACTAAAAAATTCAAACAAATCAATGGGACATCTCTCTTAATTAAATAATGCACTTACAATATGAGCTAAAAAAAAATATTCACCTGACATAACTAGCTAAATTTATATACTGTACCTCAGCAAACAAAACAGAATACATTTAAAACTCAGAAAAATGAAGCAGAGCAGATTTTGAAGTATATATTACTAATATTAAGCTTTAATCAGGCATGCTATGAGAGTTTATGGTAACATAAATGCCAAAAACTACTTCACCTGTTTCTTTCATCATCTCTTCATCTTTTGAGAGAATTGTCAGTGGAGAGGGATTAAGCCCTCTGGCCACTTCAAACTTTCGTGCAACTTGATGATGACACAGACTAGCCCCAGCTCCTTTGTGAAGCAGTCGAGAATTCAGGGATCTGAGACTGGTACAAGCCTGTGGATAAAACCTGAGAGATAATTTTTTATCATCAATTGAAAAGACAAAGTCCCATTCATGATACTATACATTCATTTGCAAAATGGTATACTGTGTATAGTATGAAAAGACACAAGTGTTTCAATAATAAAGATACCCAAGGGAAATAAATCTGACTTTTTTGGGTTTTCCTAGGTAATTTACACTATGTATGATAATTGTACTTATTTACACTGGTGTCTTATTCATCAACTGCAGTATTGTATACCTTCAATAGTATGGCATACTGTATGGCATACTGTATGTCATATAAAAAGAAATGCAGCACTGTACTTGTCATATAACATTTATCCAGTACATATATGTAAATTACTGTAATTTGAAATAAAGACAAATAAAAAATAAAAAAAAAATGTAATCTACAATACATGCTGTTATCAGGATAATTTTCAAATACTTGAAGGAAACACCACAACAGCACATAATTACATCAAAATAGTAAACTCTGATGTTTATTTGAGCAAAGATTTTTGTACATTTTTATTACTTTTTATTGCTACCTGTACCTAAATACAGTTTACTGTACTGCATGAGAAAACAAATTAGTATATCCTATGTACTGTACACAGAGATACCTATATAGACAAATACACCTTATACCATATAAGGCACAGGATAAAAATAATGGTCGGCAAAGCAATCCCAAATTCATATATATGAAGAGGGTCATTGGAAGCCCGTAATGCACTTTTAAATCTACAAAACCCTAACATTTCTAACATTGACTTAAGACTATCTACAAAATTGCAACTGACCTCTTGTATATAACAAGAGGTCAGTTGCAGAGGTCATGGAACAGATTACTGGTTGATACCAAAGTGACATCTACTTCCATCTGACCTTTCCTCGCTTCTGCCTATATAATAACCTTCCGCCAGGTATATTCTATTGCCTAGAAAGGGCCTGCTGCACAGACAAAACAATGTATAAACGAAGTTTCATATAACTGCAATCTGTTTGTTACAAACTGCTAAATGCTCGTGGCTCACTTGGTAGAAGTCTCAGCTCACACACAGTGGACCGGGATTCAACCGTCAGACGAACAGGAACGTTGGACATGTTTCCTCATGATAAATTAGACACATGTGCAACTCTTGGGTATCTTTATTGAGGAAACGTTTCACCACAAAGTGACTTCATCAGTCCATACAAAGGAGAATCTTGAAGAACAGGAGGAGAATGAGGTAATCAGTCCCTCAACCTTGAGTCGATGTGGTCAGTCCATCAATCTTGAATAGAATGAGGGACTGATTACCTCATTCTCCTCCTGTTCTTCAAGATTCTCTTTTGTATGGACTGTTGAAGCCACTGTGGCGAAACGTTTCCTCAATAAAGATACCCAAGAGTTGCACATGTGTCTAATTTATCAACGTGTCGGTTCTCTGAACCATCCATCTACAATGTTTCCTCATACCTGCTACACTTGTTCACCTAACAAGTACCTGGGTGTTAGGCAACTAGTGTGGGTCGCATCATAGCTAAGTGGATTAAAGAACCCTAAGGAAAACAAGAGAGTCCGACGGCATCCCAATTTAACTTGATTATTAGCCCTCCGGGTTAATAATAATCAGAATAAAAACTTCCTCAGAATTTGTCGGCTTTTTTTTTTTTCGAAACTCATTTCTCAGTGATTCAAATGAGTTTGGTGAGCGAGGGGCTTAGGAGGCAAGCATACACACATTAATAATGTACATAATAATCAATAACAAGCATACAACTATTTCAAGCTTGATAATAACAATAAAAACTGACGAGAGTCCTGGGCAGCGACCTCCACAGCAGCGCCATGTTGTTGTTTACCTGGACTCAAGGCTGCCACCTTCTATCAGCTGATTCAGTTTGTAAAATATATTTAAAATTTTAAACATATAAGAAATAAATCACATTATTGTGAAGAATAATATTGGCTTAAAAAAATCCACAGCATCCTTTTTTATGAGCAACGTTGCAGGGATGTACACATCGAGTACTGTGTATATCTGTGTATAAATATATATACTTAAAGTTTACTAATCTTTGTTTCATTTGTATACTAAATTTTTGTTTTGGTTTTATGTTTCATTTATAAATATATAATAAAGTATATATTATAAACTAACAAATATACGTTGCAGTATCCATTCATGAGTAAAAGTTTATTCAGGTACAGGTACACATATCAGGATAACCCCAAAAAATCAGACAAAGTGACTTATTTCCACTGGAGTCCTTGATATTAAGGAAAATAATAATAATAATAATAATAATAATAATAATAATAATAATAATAATAATAATAATAATAATAATAATAATAATAATTTACTACGTGTACATGTACAAGGTATACAGACCATAGCTGATATCAATAAGTAAGTAAGTAAGTAAGTAAATTTATTCAGGTATACACAATACAGTTACATAGAATTATCATACATAGCAGCATATGTGTAGAGAACCTAGGATAACCCAAAAAAGTCAGACAGAGTGACTTATTTCCATTGGGAAAGCAGTTTGTTATGCGGAGTATTTCGGGCAAATTAGGTTAATTTCGTCCCAGGATGCGACCCACACCAGTCCGCTAACACCCAGGAACCCATTTTGCTGATGGGTGAACATAAACAACCTGTGTAAGGAAACACTCCCAATGTTTCTACCCTCGCCAAAAATCGAACCTGGGTCCTCACCCAGGCGCTGTATAACCCCGTCCCCATGAAAATAACTACGATGTCTTTGTATACATATATGCAGAATATTGAATAAGTTGTATCCTGCTCTATTAGGTTTTAAACCTTAGATTTAAATAGTGTCCAATTCCGTAAAAACCCATGTATCACGTGGAAATGGTTCATTATTTTATTGTATATAAATATATTTTATTTATTTTATTTTATATATGAGTGTGTGGAGGTGGGGGGGGGGGGGAGTTACCCATAATGCAGCAGGCGGCGGCGGTGGGTTGGCAGCCCTGGCGGTCTCCTTTACACTGGTGGCTGCGTCAGCATGTACGTACCGCTCGACACTTCTTGTTATCCGCCTCAATCCACGGTATCGTCATGTATTTTAGTCTTACTTACATCTTCAGGCACTGCTGGGGACCTGATGCCCTGGCGGCTGAGGGTTTCCATGCATTCTGGAAGTAGATGATTGTGTATTTTAGGCCTGAAGTTGAGATTGAATGTTGGTGTGGGTGATGATTGCTGGTACACGGTCAATGTAAACACGTGAATATTTCCCTTATTAAATGCAGCTTTTAGAGCGTTTCTAGCCTTTATTGGTATTGTTGTGGTAATATTTTATAATCATTGTTTTATAGAAATCGCTTCCCTAGGCTTTGCTAATTCTAGAAAAATCCTAACTTACTGAACCACCCTAATGGAAATTTTAGACTTTTATCGTCATCATAGTTTAATTTTACTTGATTGTGCTATAGCCTATATACGCTTTCAAGGCCTATCTTTTTTTTTGTTTTCACGTTAAGAACGGAAACAGTAAAGCATGAACTAGGAATGGAGGAACACTACCAGCCAATACTAGTCAGGTCCTAACATTCAAGTTTCTAACAAATTTGTCCGTCTTGTTCTCAAGACCATCAGAAGCAGTACTGCAACAGGCCTACTAACCCACGCTGGGTAGGTTGAGCTCGCATACCTCATCCTCACCTAACCTATTTTTAAAATTACTTTGCCCTACTCGTCCATAATTTTTATTACCAAACTGATGTTTTCCTGTATCCTCTCTACATCTAAATTTTTCAGACTTTACCCTGTTGCTGTGAATCCCGTCCTGGTGATATATTTTTAGCCAACTATTTATATATCTTTCATTCTTGTTTTCCATTTATACACAAGTCATATCACCTCTTATTCAATGCTTTTCCAGAGAGCAAATTCAGTGCCCTCAGTCAGTCCTTGTAGGAAAGATTTCCATGCATGGGATCAACTTTGTTGTACTTTTTCCTGCATATTTGTCCCTTTTGTTGCTGTATAGCCCTTGTGGCTTAGCGCTTCTTTTATAATAATAATAATAATTATGTCCCTTTTGTAATAGTGACCAGAACTGTGTGGCATAATTTAAACGAGGTCTTGCCAAGGCTATAAAGTTGAAGTTTAACTAGAGGACTCGTGTAATTTATACTTCTCGATATGAAGCTGAGAATTTTATTAGCTTCATTTTGAACACTTATGCACAGTTGTCTTGGTTTAAGATTACTGCTAATCAGAACTTGCACTTACTGATTAAGATGTTCATTATTCACTATAAGTGCCATAATTCTCCTCCCAGACCTATATTTGTCTACTAAGATGCATCTGCCACGTCTCAGACCACTGGATCAATCTCTTCATATCTTTATTTAGTGCATTGTCATCAGAATTTATCTGACTGCCTATTCTAGTGTTATTGGCACTGTATAGCCCTTGTGGCTTAGCGCTTCTTTTTGGTTATAATAATAATAATAGTTATTGGCAGACCACCTGATGTTGCTATTTATTCCCTGCTCTATCATTTATGTATACAGTTTACCCTTGAACAACAAGGGTTGGAACTGTGCGGGTCCACTTATGTGGCATTTTTTCAGGAGGCCTGGTCACAGACCGGGCCGCGGGGGCATTGACCCCCGAAACTCTCTCCAGGTAAACTCCAGGTAATAAATTTTTTTGAAGATTTGCTACTGGAAAAAAATTAAGAAAGTTAGGTATGTTGTGAATGCTTAAAATATATGTAGATACTAGTCTATTTTTTATTTACTATCAAAAATATACACATCTTTCATAAAAAGTTAAAATTTATCAAAACATGCACACAAGTGATTACAGTCTAGAGAAATGTAAACAAATTTAGATGAAATAATATAATAAGCATGATTGAGTGTGTAACGAAAAATGGAAATAAATATAGGGGATGTAAATAACATGCTAAAAGACATGACTCATACCAATGGTTTCAAGTTGGAAAAAATTAGATTCAGAATGGATATAGGCACACACTGGTTTGGTAATAGTTTTGGACGAGTGGAACAAACTTGAGTACCATCATTGAAGCTAAAACATCGTGTGGTTTTAAAAATAGGTTAGACAAATATACAAAGTATACCAGGTATATTCCAAGCGTCGGTGGGGTGTGAGTTGGACCTGACTGGCTTGGGCTGGTCGGTCTTAATGCAGTGCTCCATCCTTAAGTGGATGTGACTTGGACCTGACTGGCTATGGCCAGTAGCCTAGGCTGGGAGATGACTTGGACCTGCTTAGCATGGGCCATTAGGCCCACTGCAGTGCCCCTTCTTATGTTCTTGTATTAATGTTGGTAGAATTACCAACAGTATGTTAGGTAAAAAGGACATAAGTGCAACTAATGTGACATTGTATTGTGGAAACGTTTCACTCTCCAGGAGCTTTCTCAAGCTGTTATGGCTTGACAAAACTCCTGGAGAGTGGAACATTGCCACAATAAAATGTCACGTTAGTGCACTTCTCCTTTTTACCTAACATACTGTCGGTAATTCTACAAACATTAATAGTTCTCAGCATGAGAACTGTTCAAAATCTTTATCTCATCTCAGTGTTGAAGCTTTGATGGCTCAGGGACAGGACTAGATGATTTAGGACAATGAGAGGCCATAATGCAGTTCACAACTGCAGACACCCAAGTAGTCTCCAGAATCTGAGATGCCAACACTACTGTTAATAATGAGGGATTTTTGATATGTTGTGCTTCCCACTGTGCCCCACAATACAATCTTCTTGTTCCTATCGCCCATGTGTGTGTGTGTGCTGCATGTAGCGAGTGAATTATGTGAAGAAATGAGTTGCCAGATAAGAACTGATGTGCATTATGTGAAACTACAAAGTGAGGGAACTAGTAGCTTAAAGTTCTCATGAAAAAAAGTCAACGAATTTCTGAGGACTTCCTGTGTTAGTAAGCTTATTTAGACACAAGTACACGTAAGTAAAATTAATCGTACATAGTGTGACCATTGGTTATTGATGTAGATGCTGTATCACTTTTTATTACTAAAAATTGGATACATTAGCAGTGTGCTACTACCCTATTCTATACTGTATTATTCTCCAATTTGTGACATACATTGTGGACCCATGCCATACATATTTTCCATAGTTTTATATGCATTTATTTTTAAAGTTAATTTTTTTGGTTGTTTTACCTTGGGAAGTGGCTAGTATTATCTTGCTCTGTTCATATGATGACAACTCAATCCATTCTCTGAGAGACGTAGCTGTTAGGGAGTTGTGACCTTGTCCGTCATGGTGTGCAGTCCCTGGGGTATAGGCAAGGTTCTCTTGTCTAGATCTCCACCTGACACACAGGCTCTCTAACTTCTACACCAGGTACTGTCCTCCTGGCTCTAGGATTCAGAAAAGACTGCTGAACCATGTTTTCCTTTTCTCAATTTATATACTAATAAATTACATACTGTGTGTTAATAAATTCTTTATTTTCAGTATCCACCATGAAGCTTAATAAGCTGAAAACAGCTTCTCGACGCAAGAACCGAAATCGTTACTTCAATGCACCTTCCCACATACGTCGAAGGTTCATGTCTGCCCCCCTCTCTAAAGAACTGAGACAGAAGTACAATGTTCGATCAATTCCTATTCGCAAGGATGATGAAGTTCAGGTATGTTAACTCTTAGCCTTTTAATTGTGTCCAGTGGTTTAGTATGCAAATGCTGTTGTATTTGCTCAATGTACTAGTACAGTGAAACCTCGGCTTAGGAGTGCTCCACCATATGAGTTTTTCAGGATACGAGCAATTGTTCAGTCAATTTTTTGTTTCTGGATATGAGCAAAAATTTAGGATGTGAGCTTTCCCCTCAAACAACTCTTTAAACCTCCAGATCTTTTTTTTTTATTTATTTATTTATTTATTTATTTATTTATTTATTTATTTATTAACACATCGGCCGATTCCCACCAAGGCAGGGTGGCCCGAAAAAGAAAAACTTTCATCATTCACTCCATCACCGTCTTGCCAGAGGGGTGCTTTACACTAGTTATAAAACTGCAGTATTAACACCCCTCCTTCAGAGTGCAGACACTGTACTTCCCATCTCCAGGACTCCAGTTTGGCCTGCTGGTTTCCCTGAATCCCTTCATAAATGTTACTTTGCTTACACTCCAACAGCATGTCAAGTATTGAAAACCATTTGACTCCATTCACTCCTATCAAATATGCTCATGCATGCTTGCTGAAAGTCCAAGCCCCTCGCACACACAACCATTACCCCCCTCCTTCCAACCTTTCCTAGGCCGACCCCTATCCCGCCTTCCCTCCACTACAGATTTATACACTGTCATTCTGCATTATATTCACACCACACATTGCCCTCAGACATGACATCTCCACTGCCTCCTCATTGCAACATTCATCACCCATGAATGTAGCTCATTGTCATGATGTATTATGTTGTTTTTACTTCTTAAGACTATAACTGCAACAGAAATACGTAATAGTATTTCTTACCTTAAATTCTGGGTGCTGGTGTTTGTTGATGATTATGAAGAGTTATACTGTGGCCCTACTGGGCTGAAATTGGTGATTGTACTGGAATGTGCATAAATTTTGTAATGGATCTCTGTTCTATTTTACCCTGCAGTTCATTATACAACTGATGGTACGGCATCAGCTGCTCTAGACATCGTTTCAGGGTCCTCTTCAATAAAAGTAACTTTAAGTCATTCAGAATGTCAGTCAAGTCAGTAAGTCAGCAACACTGGTATACCTACTGGGTGTCATGATTGTTTGGCAGATAAAAGATATGGTAATTAAAAGATAAAAACACAGTTCACAAACACACCTAGCTTGTAGGAGAGAAGTGAAACTGAACATGTATTCATGAAGCTGGGATGGTGGTGTCGGGAGTGAGTGTCGGGATGGCGGGAAGTCTTCCCCGCGGACCCACAACAAGGCAGCCACTTGAGGTAGGGAATAGCCGCCACTTGTCACATAATGACATATTTTATTCATTTTAGAGTATAGATCAGGTTTGTTATTTATATTGTTTATTATGTCATTAGATGAATTGTGATAGATAAATAAGCCGTAGAGTTGATATTAGCATCATATTGAAGCATTTTTGTTCTGCCTCCCAGAGCAGTAATTCTACTGGAATGAATTAATGGAATTTCAGTTAATTTAAATGAGGAAAATTGACTACATACTAGTAGATCGGGGTGCAAGCAAGATCACATAACAGATTAAACTCGTAAGCCTAGGTTCCACTGTATATACAATTTTTCATACCTGCAAATCTGCCACCTGTTAGTATTTTTGACCTCGGTGTAACTTTTGATCTTCCATCTATTCATATGTTCAAAAAGAATACAAGGTCAGCAAGTTTCACACAGCGTATCATGGTTAACTACTCGGGTTAGGAATTTTTTTTATTTTATTATCACACTGGCCGATTCCCACCAAGGCAGGGTGGCCCGAAAAAGAAAAACTTTCACCATCATTCACTCCATCACTGTCTTGCCAGAAGGGTGCTTTACACTACAGTTTTTAAACTGCAACATTAACACCCCTCCTTCAGAGTGCAGGCACTACTACCCATCTCCAGGAGTCAAGTCCGGCCTGCCGGTTTCCCTGAATCCCTTCATAAATGTTACTTTGCTCACACTCCAACAGAATGTCAAGTATTAAAAACCATTTGTCTCCATTCACTCCTATCAAACACGCTCACGCATGCCTGCTGGAAGTCCAAGCCCCTCGCACACAAAACCTCCTTTACCCCCTCCCTCCAACCTTTCCTAGGCTGACCCCTACCCCGCCTTCCTTCCACTACAGACTGATACACTCTTGAAGTCATTCTGTTTCGCTCCATTCTCTCTACATGTCCGAACCACCTCAACAACCCTTTCTCAGCCCTGTGGACAACAGTTTTGGTAATCCCACACCTCCTCCTAACTTCCAAACTACGAATTCTCTGCATTATATTCACACCACACATTGCCCTCAGACATGACATCTCCACTGCCTCCAGCCTTCTCCTCGCTGCAACATTCATCACCCATGCTTCACACCCATATAAGAGCGTTGGTAAAACTATACTCTCATACATTCCCCTCTTTGCCTCCAAGGACAAAGTTCTTTGTCTCCACAGACTCCTAAGTGCACCACTCACTCTTTTTCCCTCATCAATTCTATGATTCACCTCATCTTTCATAGACCCATCCGCTGACACGTCCACTCCCAAATATCTGAATACGTTCACCTCCTCCATACTCTCTCCCTCCAATCTGATATTCAATCTTTCATCACCTAATCTTTTTGTTATCCTCATAACCTTACTCTTTCCTGTATTCACCTTCAATTTTCTTCTTTTGCACACCCTACCAAATTCATCCACCAATCTCTGCAACTTCTCTTCAGAATCTTCCAAGAGCACAGTGTCATCAGCAAAGAGCAGCTGTGACAACTCCCACTTTGTGTGTAATTCTTTATCTTTTAACTCCACGCCTCTTGCCAAGACCCTCGCATTTACTTCTCTTACAACCCCATCTATAAATATATTAAACAACCACGGTGACATCACACATCCTTGTCTAAGGCCTACTTTTATTGGGAAAAAATTTCCCTCTTTCCTACATACTCTAACTTGAGCCTCACTATCCTCGTAAAAACTCTTCACTGCTTTCAGTAACCTACCTCCTACACCATACACTTGCCACATTGCCCCCCTATCCACCCTGTCATATGCCTTTTCCAAATCCATAAATGCCTCAAAGACCTCTTTAGCCTTATCTAAATACTGTTCACTTACATGTTTCACTGTAAACACCTGGTCCACACACCCCCTACCTTTCCTAAAGCCTCCTTGTTCATCTGCTATCCTATTCTCTGTCTTACTCTTAATTCTTTCAATTATAACTCGACCATACACTTTACCAGGTATACTCAACAGACTTATCCCCCTATAATTTTTGCACTCTTTTTTATCCCCTTTGCCTTTATACAAAGGAACTATGCATGCTCTCTGCCAATCCCTAGGTACCTTACCCTCTTCCAATACATTTATTAAATAATTGCACCAACCACTCCAAAACTATATCCCCACCTGCTTTTAACATTTCTATCTTTATCCCATCAATCCTGGCTGCCTTACCCCCTTTCATTTTACCTACTGCCTCACAAACTTCCCCCACACTCACAACTGGCTCTTCCTCACTCCTACAAGATGTTATTCCTCCTTGCCCTATACACGAAATCACAGCTTCCCTATCTTCATCAACATCTAACAATTCCTCAAAATATTCCCTCCATCTTCCCAATACCTCTAACTCTCCATTTAATAACTCTCCTCTCCTATTTTTAACTGACAAATCCATTTGTTCTCTAGGCTTTCTTAACTTGTTAATATCACTCCAAAACTTTTTCTTATTTTCAACAAAATTTGTTGATAACATCTCACCCACTCTCTCATTTGCTCTCTTTTTACATTGTGTGAGATAATAGTTATCATGCCTAACTAGCAAAAGTAAACAATGAACCAGAAGCTGTTGTTCCACCACCAGCATCCCTGCCAGCAAACAAGGTGTGCAAGTGACACTAAGATGACTTATTCATATTTAACCCAGGATAACCCAGTAAGGTCAAACAATGTGAATAATTTCCATTTTTTGAAGAGTATTACTGGATTGTAATACAGGTCGGCCTGTGAAGGCTTACTCAGCCCTGTAACAACTGCAGACAGTATTACCAAGGCTGGCTGGCTCAGGAAAATTAATGAATAGAAAAATAAATAATAATTTACAAAGATAAACACTTTATTATTTATTAATGCAAAGATAAAACATTGAAATATGAAGGTGTATCCTACTTGAAAGAAAAATGAAAAATGAAATAAAAATATGACATTTGAATTCAACGAAAATATATACTGTTATAATTGGGTATCTGGTGGAGGTTGACACAGTCTTGTAGAAATTGTAGCTGTTACTGATGATTGGGGGGGGGGGGGGATCACAGGTGTTGGTGACAACCCAACGACTAGTTCTTCACAGAGTCTATTGCCTTGAATAGGCAGTCCAGATGACAGGAACGCAGGTTCTTTAATACTGCAAAGATGAGGGGTAGTGTCCTGTACAATTAATCAGGTAGGTAGATCATAAAGTGACGTCTCGAGACCGGTTTCCTTCAACACTTCTCGTTGGTTGGTAGGTGACCCAATCTGTGATTCCAAGCTGGAAAGAGAGACAGGCTACCCACTGCTTAAGAAATCACTCTCCATGATAAGTGTAAGATACTTAAAAAAGGTGGTGATTATCTTAAAAGTCTCATGTGGAGCTTAAAACTGAAAGGACGAAGTTTATTATTGGTCAAAAGTGAAGCTTTCAACAAATATACACTAGAATAAGAGCAGGCTTTTACTTACAGTTGTGCTGGGAGCTGTGAGTCGACTGATTACTGTTTGGCCGGAGCCCCACACGCCACCTTTTGGGGTGGGGAGAAAGGGGGGGGGATAGCAAGAGCTAGACTTACCCTACCTTAACGAGCAGCTGGCAATCAAACTATCGTTACCATATACTCGCTCGCTACTCCTGTCTGTTGAACTTTTCCCTCGCACGGCCATTGCTAATCTGGCATCATTGGGACCTGTAGGGTGCCGGATTAGTGAC